GCCATGCTAAATTGTGTTCCTCAGTTATGTGAAGGTTCTTGTAGAGTATTTTTGGTTTTGACTATAAATCTAATCTGTGGAGTATTTTCAAAGGGAATAATTATGACAGTCTGCCTTCTGTCAATATGTATGAAACTAGAATAGTTGTTTCATTTTGAAAACATGTATACCTGTATTTTGTATCTTCCTTCTTCCCCTCTACTGCCAGTGGTGTGTATTCTTTGGGTTCTTTGAGTCTGGGAGCTTTTTTAATTTCTACCTCATCATGGAGAGAACACAGAATGCCCTTCATAAAAGGAGGGTATTAGCTGTTGGTCTGTGACAGAGGCTGCTGTGCTTCCATCAAAAAAGGACCCCCAGTCACTGAAAGGGAGGGACGTGTTGGCTTGTTACCAGGCTGCAGATCAGTAACTATCATTTCTGTGCACTTCTAGAACTGTTGCTGCACAATCTTGTAGAAACTGATCTGAAAGTGAACGCTATCGCTTTGTTCATCAAACAGCAGGAAAACAGCTTGATTATTTGATTCTTAGCTTTCAGATTTCTTCATGAAGGAAACAGGTTGGCCCTAGCATCCAAGCTATAGTTTCATTATCTCAGATAAATTGAAATTAAATATTGTTGCTGGCTTGGCAGTTTCAAACACAACTTACTTTCTTCTCTTTTTAGACAGCTGTGTCACAATAACCTGTTTTTAATTGCTTGTGTTTAGTATTAGATTCACTTTAGCTTATGTCCATATTACAAAATAACAAATGGTGGGATATTTCTTCCGCTATTAACCTTCTACTGGAATAGAACATGTTCTTTCTTGTGTAACTAAACTTAATCAATTTTCTACACGTCTAGTTACTAATTAATGGACTGCTTCATTCAAAGGCACTTTTTCATTTTGCTCAATGTAGAAAGTTGTCATGGTTTTAGGGGAGACTTTCTGAGATCACAGGAAGTGAAGGTATTGAAAATGTGTGTATAGCTTCAGTTTTTGTAAAGAAGTTCTTATAACTCAAAATGTCCTCCCTGTGCCTGTCTGTCCTCGCCCAAGTAGGTAGGTTCTGTAGTTCTGTGCAACTTTTGTGGGGTTGCAAGTTTACATTTTTAAAAAACCTCTTTGACCAGATCCTGCTTATTCCTTAAGTTTTGGCAAAATGCTAGGATCAGCAACCTATGATAGATATCTCAAATAATGTCCTCCTTTCACAGTTGTTGCAAGAGTTTCAAGCTACTGACTTCAAGAAGAAAATACAGTGTTATGGTAGGGAGAACATTTTCCTAGCTTCCTCAGGAAACAGTCTGCATGTTGTCTCTCTTGATTTTGGCCTGCAGTAAGCTTTGAGCATGTTGTCTAATTTCGAGCAAACTTGATAAAGGAGTCTAAAATATGTAAGTTCCTGTAATAGGGATGGACAGTGTATGGCTACAAGAGCAACCACAGCCTGTTTTTGTCTCTTGCTGAACTAGGCAATCACCAGCATAGGAAGGGAATGCAAGGGAGCTGAATCACATAGGGGGTTGTAGTACTAGAAAATAAAAAGAACTGAGGATTTTGTAGCTAGATACAGAAATCGTGGTGAGAAAGCTTAGTGTATGGATGTCATCTGAGATGCAACACTGTTGAAAGCCAGAATTTGATCTGTTTTGTGAACAATTCTGCTCATGGAACTACTTATTTTTGATATTTTGAATAAAATCACTAGAATTGTTCTGTTTGCTACTTGGTGTTATGTTGCTGCACAGCTATTTCTGACTTGAGGCTATTTTGTTTTTCACTATTCTTGAGGTTCTTTTATTTCCTCTGTTATCTATTTCGTCATTGACTGTCAGCAAAAAGAATACAGTTTTTTTCCAAACCGCATAATCTGATGTATTCCTTGTTCTATAGTACTACCCTTCTTGTGCTAAGCAGGCAGTTATTTGTTGTCCAGACCAGAGATGCTTGAGATGCTGCTTTTTTTTTTTTTTTTGCAGTTGCCTTTTTGTTTAAGCCTTTCACTCCAGCAATGTAGGCTGTATGAGCATTTTACCTGTCAGAACCTGAAATCATCCGTGTTCTGCAGTTGTGTTAGCAGTGTTAAGCACAGTCAGACTTTACCTGAACAATGTTACATGTCCGTTTCCGCCTGCAGTTGAAAAACTGTTCTGTTTAAAATGCTGAAGATTGTATTTAACCATGCTGTTTATGTTTCTGGCAAGTTACCCAGTGCCATTCATCACAAGCTATAGCTATTTGGCTTTTCAGTAATGTGGGAAAGACTTCAAGGTAGTTTGTTTGTTTTAAACATTAATGTGGTTTATAGTGATTTGTTCAGGCTTTCGTTATTATTCCTTCCGGATCCAGAAAGTGATTTCTCTCTCCCAAAACCCCAAAAGGACAACTTGCTATGTTTGAGACATTTTAAATATGTACTTTCTTGGATTTCTAATACGATATGCACATAGCTTTTATACAGGTATTTTTGAAATGGTGTGAAAATCAAGTATTTATTTCTATGTTCAGCATAGAGTTCTTATTTGAATGCTTGCATGGAGTAATATCTTGGTTGCATGACTAGTTCCAGAAGGTGCATGTACTTTATGTATTAAGTAAGGTATTGCTAAATGGAAACACTTAGCCCAACCAGAGTGTGCAGATAGGTCATATCTGTCCAGTATTTTGCAACAGCAACACATAGCAGGTGTTTTTAATGCTATGAATACAACTACTAGCAACAAATAATAGCTTACCTCATTCCACTGGCAAACGAGTTTACTGCTTGTCTTTCTTTTGGAATAGCTTTTTGCCCATGATTTTATAAATATCTGCTTGTATTCCAGAATTTTATTTTTAAGAGGAAGAATAAACCTTATCATTAAAATAGAAGCAGCAGCAGCTCTGCAATTATTAGTGATGTAAGATTTTGAAAAATTAAGAAAAAAATCTACAATAGCTTTAACATTTTGGAGTTACTTTACCTTTCTGGCAAAATATCTTCCTTTTTACTATTTGACTCTCACAAAAAATTTTGTTTTCTCCACTTCTTTTCATAGACTTTTTATAGCATTTGTGGTGACGAGCTCTTATGATTTGATCATAAGTGTCATGATATTTCATTATTTTTACCCTTAAAATTAATGGTTCCTGGAGCCAGATAATTGCATGAGAACCTCATCTTTTCCAAGAATTTTTGTACGTTTAGTTGTTTTAATGCATTCAAAGTACGAAGGATCAAAAATATCAACCTTTTCTTAATTTGGAATCTCTGATTGAAAGCAGATTTAAAAAAAATCTTCCAAGGACCTGGAGTATATATTTGGTTTTTGTCATTGTAATTATATCACATTTAAGAGTAGACTCAGTAGCAAGGCTGTTTGTTAATCACATTCATTTTGGTGGTGTGTAGGGACAAACCTAGAGCAGGATCCATAGAATTTACTGTCTAGTTAGACGAGGCAGATATAATCAGAGAAGGGTCATAACCAAAACAAACACTTCAAGGGTCTTAACTGCTAGTAATGCCATAACTTTAGATTTTTGGCATGGTGACCAAAAAAAAGGGGGGGGACAATGACCCAGGAAGGTGTGCTAAATGGAAAAAGGTACGAAGGTCAGTAGAAGAGCTGAACAAGTATGGAATTGCGCTATGATGAAGAGATTGGGGGGAAGATGATAAGAAGTGACTAACCTCGGCTAGGCAGGAAAAAAAGCGTTGTCGGAATGTATCTTTAGCTGTTTTTTTTCAAATCTTCTTTCTCTACTGGGTCTGGCTGTTTTTCTCTTCCGTTTTTCTTGGCAGTTAATGGAGGCAGGGAATTTAAGATGCATCCGTGTTTGCATATTATGTGTGGGTTTGGATGATCTTAGTCTCCCTTGACTGCCTGTGCTCAGAGGGATTGCTGGGTGGCGAGTGGTGTTTTAACATTGCGTATCTTCTTATTGTCACTGCCTTCTTCAAATCATTATTTGTATGAGTGACAAACTAGCTCCACCTTTGCCTTCTAACTGGCATTTCAGTTCTGTTGCTTTTTTTGATCTAACCATGTTCATTCTACTTCTGTTTACTCCCTGTGGCACTCTTCCTCTAACTGCAGTTCAGTGCTACCATGCTTGATATTCCTTGGCCAGCTGACAGCTCACTTATCTAATGCACGTGGAGCCTAACAGTTTCATAGACAGGTACTACTTCTTGTCCTGGGCTTCTGGTCAGTAGGGTTTTTTCCCAACCTATATAATGAACTTTACCCTGCATGTAGATGAACAGAAGTAATGGCTTCACAGAGGGGTATGAACTCTTCCTATTTAAATTGCTAACGTACAAGTCTGACTAATGTTAACATGTTTAGTCATTTACCTGTTCGCTGTTCTAGCAGAAATGTTAGTCAAGCATTCTTAGATCACGGATGGAGTTTTAGTTTGTGAACAAACGAAATACCACCAGTTCTACCAGCAAATCTGCGTACTTTGTCCTCAGACTTGCTGTCAATATTTTTCTGAAAATACACAAGCAATCCTTAGTTGTGAAAATTACAGTTTTGGACAAAAGTATGTTGTTCAGAAGCATTTTATTTTAAAGTTAAAAAGTATCTTTCTGTTTGTGTTGTGTATGTTCAGTTATATAGCCCAATACTTCATTTTTTATCTACTTTAACTTTTACAATAATTCATTGAAAGAACAAACTGATAGCAGACTCAGCTGAAGGCAGGCATTTTAGCCAAAAATTCTGCTACTGTTAATATTTGAGCAGTTTGTAATGCATATAAATATTTGATTTATCACACATGTTTTACAAAAACTTAGAACTGAATCAATCTGTGTTCCCTGAACTGTAGAATGTCAAATGACGAGAGCACTTTTATCAATCAGCATGGTTAGAATTTCAACACAGGAACTTTCTCCATTATGTATTAAGTGATCTTGTTTGTCTTGATTAATTTTCTACTGCATATTTACATGGTTACTAGAAAACAGAGGGAGGGGAAGAGAGAGAGAGATGCATGTAATCATTTTTGTAATTTTTTTCAGGTATTTTTAGCAGCAATGATGTAGCAGTATCATTTCCAAATGCAGTATCTGGCTCAGGATCTAGCACTCCCGTTTCCAGTTCTCATTTACCTCAGCAGGCTTCAGGCCACTTGCAGCAAGTGGGAGCTCTATCACCTTCAACTGCGCCTTCTATAACTACTGTTGTTGCTGCAACTCAGGTAAACCATCACAAGAGTTTAAGATAGCAAGCAATGTTATTGACCTGCTTATTTTCAATGTTAAAAGAAACAATAATTTGTTTGGAAAATAGGTTAATAAACATTGTATTTGTTGTGAAAACATTACAGTGGCTAGAAGTTCTACATAATATTACATAGTCCCATTTTTGTAGAGCACATAGATTTTTAAAAATGGTCTGTGGAAGTGTGTAGTAATAATGACTATATTATGACTAGTAGCATAAATGCTGGTAACAATTCATCAGTGCTCTAAACAATGTCTGTTATCAGAACAATGTTTTAAGAAAGGATTTAAAAGAGGAAATAATGTAAAGTTTTGCATGTTTCACGCAAAAATGCTGGTGTCAGTTAAAGAACAAAGGGATTTATTTGGAAGATTTGACAAATGGACAACTAAGGCTAGCCCTGGCGAACAGGTGGTCAAGGCTGACATCTTGATGGCAAATGAAAGTTGATATATGTATGCACTACACTTTTGTATTTGAAAGGTCATACAAATGAAGATACGTAGTTCATGTTTGGTGGTGAAGGGGTAAGGGAGGCACTGCAGGACTGCAGAAGGGTGACATAGTTGAACTAATGAACCGGAAAACATATCTTTTTGGTAGCATTTTGTATGAATTTAAGTTGGGCAAGATTGCATTTAACAAGGCAAGAAAGTATGAAGCTATAGTTGTAGAGAGCCACCATGATTAGAGTGTAAGTATGAAGGAATACGGTACTGGACATGGTGTTTTTATACTGCGTGTTTCTTGTATTTTTCATTTTCTGATGGGAATCTGTTTTACAATTAATGTATCAAGTATATTTTTTTTGTGTACATATAAGCTTCAACTTTTAATTTATAGAGTCTACAGTGATTTCAGATACTGGATATAAACGTGAAGAATTAAAATCAAGCTATGTATTAACATGCATACTTATATGTCTGTGTGTGGTGAAGGGGTAAGGGAGGCACTGCAGGACTGCAGAAGGGTGACATAGTTGAACTAATGAACCGGAAAACATATCTTTTTGGTAGCATTTTGTATGAATTTAAGTTGGGCAAGATTGCATTTAACAAGGCAAGAAAGTATGAAGCTATAGTTGTAGAGAGCCACCATGATTAGAGTGTAAGTATGAAGGAATACGGTACTGGACATGGTGTTTTTATACTGCGTGTTTCTTGTATTTTTCATTTTCTGATGGGAATCTGTTTTACAATTAATGTATCAAGTATATTTTTTTTGTGTACATATAAGCTTCAACTTTTAATTTATAGAGTCTACAGTGATTTCAGATACTGGATATAAACGTGAAGAATTAAAATCAAGCTATGTAAAAACATGCATACTTATATGTCTGTGTGTGTATATGTCTGTGTGTGTATGTCTACACACATGTGTGTATAGTGCATGTATAGCAGAAATACTATGTGCAGGCCAAGGTAGAATACATTTCAATATCAAATAACACTTTGTTGTTATAGGTGGCAGTATTTTTACGTAGTAGTTCTGGACTGGTTTCCTAAAGAAATAAGGCTTGTGTTATGATAGTGTGACTCTGTCTTGTAACTTTGGAACCTGTTGGCCAGTTTCATACAAAATTGGATGACATCTCTGTTGCACAAGTGATAAAAACTGTTTTGAAGAAATGAATTAAAAATACAATGCTTTGGCGAAGAGCCAATATAGCTTTTGTGAAGGGAAATAGCAACCAATTGGAGTTAGTTCCTTTTTTTTTAATTCCCAAAGAGTATTACACAACATAACTCACTGAATACGCTTAAATTGAGCAGTCTGGAGATAGGGGAGAGGTTGTGTCATATTTTAGTAGAGGATTAAAAGATTTTAAAAGCCCCAAATAAGTATATGCTTAGTTTTCACAGTGGAGAGGTTTATCATGAGACTCGTGAAAAGATCAGCATTATGGCCTTTTGTACAGCTCAACGTATTCATAAACGATCTAGGAAAAGGAGAAGGAACAGAAGTCAAGTTTGCTAGGTTATGCGATGAGCTATTATGAAGATAGCTGTCACAAAATGCTGAAAGACCTCACCAGCCTATGTTGACAAGGTGGTAAGAGGGCAAATGAAATTCATGTTAAAGGGAAAAGGCAGTTTCTGTTCAAAACAGGTACAGTAGATACCAAAAGAGGTACAAGAGCAGCCATGGTAGTGAACAATGGCAAGGAGCAGCATCTTTATAAGGAATGAGTAAATAGCGTAGAACTCTTCGCCAGAAAAAGAGACACTGAGATGGCAGAAGAGAAAGGCCTGAAAAATCATGAATGACATGGAAGAGTTAAATAAGCAAGAACTGTGCACCATCACTTCTCTGTGTTAAAATCTGTAGGAGGATAAACACATACAAAAAGCAATGGGACAGAGCCCATATTCAGCAGACAGGAACAGAAATACCATAGTATTTTTTTTCCTCATTTTGTCACAAAAAGGTGGAGTATACCTTAGGGGGTGTACTTTCTTGTAGTCTTTAGCTGAACTAGAGAGCCCCCCATAGGTTAAGTGCTTAAAATTCCTGTCCTTCCTTTGGCTCTGTTTTTTAGGAGATGTGCTGGGGGGGTGTTTTGTTGTTTCTGGGTTTTTTTCCCAGAGGAGTCATGTATCTTACCTCAGTACCTAACTTGTTTTCAAGTGGTCGTAGATTTACTTGTCAGGATCTTATTCACAGGTACTGCCATTTAAAGAGTCTTTTGGTTCTGAACCATAAAGGCACGTTCAAATGGTGAGAAGTTTTGGTTGACAGCCTTAGAAGGGAACTCCTGTGTTTGCACAGAGAATTAACAAAGTCCTATGCTGCTTCAGTGATTCTCGGACTACACTTTGGTAACTGGGGTCTGCCAGCTGGAAATTGGTAAAGGCGTAGTCTTTGTTTTTTCTTACATCAATGGTGTCAATGCATAAATTTTAACTTGGTCCTTCCATCATCAGAACCATTATGCAGGCATTGATATTTCAACCAAACATCATGCCTCAGATAAGCTGAGTAGCATGTCAGGTCTCTAAGTTATGCTTTACAACCAAGGCATCCATACTTATTGCCCCAATCTTTTTTCCCTTCTGTATTTCCTGTCTTCACCATTTGCAGTTAGACTCGCACTTTCCCTTTTTGTCTGGCGTCCTGTAACACCAGCAGGTAGGCAGTGGAAATTTCCAGTTGAGGCTAAATTGCGTTGTTACCTTTCTGGGTTTTTTACCCTGCTGATTTATCAGTTTTGAGAGAAACTTCTTACAAAGAAGGTGTTATGGCAAGAAGTGAACAGTCAGTTGGCTTTAAGGTCCATGGACACAGTTATTCTTCATTCATGGGGAAAAGGATTTTACAGAGTACTTTCTAGCATGGAGGAGAAAGAAGATGGATGTCTATTGTGATTTTTAAAATACTAAGTGCTTTCATATCCTGGTTGATGTTTAGGATTGGTGCTACTTCTGTCATTGCACCAGGCAGTTTAGATGCTTTTTCCCAACTTTCAAGACTTGAAAATACCGAGCTTCCCTGCTGGAAGTGTCTTTGATTCACACTAAGTCACGACAGCCTTTGTTTTTCCTGGACCATGGGAGTCTTTTTCAGGTCCATGCTGGTGTTTGCAGAGACTCAACCAAGAGAGCCTATTTTACCATGCAGTTGTTCTCCAATTCAAGAGAACCTTTTTTTTTTTTTTTTTTTATGCAGTTATCATAAATGGACTGATTAGGTAACCCTAACCCTTGAAGTATACTTAGTTCTGCAAAGTTTCATCAGAGTACTGTGTCTGCTTACTGGGCTCTTGTGGATGTATCCTCAGTGTTTACCCACCTCTTGACCATGAAAGTCTTCAAATAACGGTGTGATAAAGTATTTTTTGTGTAGTTTTCTAATTAAAAGAAAATGAACCAAGATCCTAGGTGTACATATAATGGTTATAAGTTTAGGTCAGTTTGTGCCTCTATAGCACATAAAAAGCAATAAGTAAAAAAGTAGGGTTTATTTAAACTATTAGTTAAGAGAGCAAGTATGACCAAACCTTGCTTACTCAGCTCTTTGGTCAAGGTGGTAGACGTGCAATTGGAATAGTACTAAAAATTGGAATAGCTTCAAAGATGTGCTGCTAGGATGCCCTCCTCTAAGATTTCAGCTGTTAAGTTTTCTTAGATCTCTATTGGGCATTTTTAATTATGATTATGGGGACATTGTAAATTTATCAATTTTTGATAGATTTTTTGCATCCTTTTTTTAAAGAAAGAGTGCTAAGAAATTCTAAAGAGAAGGTCCTGGGAAAAATATGTATTTCCATAAAATTAGTCTTAAAATTTCACTGAACTGTTTTGATTAGGAAGTTATGGTAGACACCTAATACAGAAAACTTTGTTCATAGTATTAAGAAAATTTTCAAGCAATTGAAAGAACTGTCCTAAAGTGAGAAAATGAGGTAATATTACCGTGCCTTTTGTAGCAGAGTAACTGTTATGCCCATATAAAACTTCAGTGATTAAAACCCCAAAGTGCTGCTTTTTCCTTCAGCAACTAAACCACACTGCTTTTAAAGCTTAAAAAAACTCAACTTGAAAATCCTGGATTTTGATTCTTTCATTCTCTTGTCTAGTATGATAGTTCCTTTTTTGTTTGTTTGTTTGTTTGTTTTTGAGGCAAAACACAGTATGGGCCTTGTTGCAATCACCTTTTCTTTTGTGTCTCATTTGTTTCTCTCTCATGCCACTCATAATTTTTATTCCAATCTAAGAAATCCAGAAGATATTATTAGCTTGTGTTCCATGCTGTGCCATAACTGAATTTAAATGCTGGTGTTCCTCACCAGGTGGGAATCACTGGTCTAGTAAAAATGCCACTTGCTGGAAATCTTTTTGCATCCTATTCCTCTTTTTTATATGTCTCGAGTGCAGCCTCATATGGGTTACACTGCTTAATTCAGTGAGGCTTTATTAGCATAGGGATATATTTAAAAATTACAATATAGGAAAAAGGAATACAGGAAAGAAGGTA